CAAAAGGCTGGAAACAATTTTAATAATGCAGCTGGATCAAATAAACTTTATGAAAGGAATTTTAGTAGCAGAAAATGTGTAAAGTTTACAAACTCTTACTAGTTGCCAATAAGATTTAGTTATGGTCAAAGCAATTCTCAGAAGACATAAAGCTCTTTGAAAGAATTTGCATAGTTTCATTACCTGTCCTGCAGTAAAGATGGATAAAAGTTCAGCCTGCCTAAAGATAAATTTCAGTGTTATTTTATCATCTTTCAATTACTTAAAAGTTTCTTCTTATTTTTCAGGTGTCGTGAATAGGCATAAACACTGAATGTGTGCAAGATGAGCCTTATTTTTCCTCAAGCTATAAATATTTTGATAATTGAGATGAGAGCTCTGCTTACATCTTTAAATTTCTGGAAAACAACATTAAGTGATGGTTTTGTTTTATTTATTTATTTATATACTTTATTTTATTTATTTGTTTATGTATTTGATTTATATGCCACGCTTCCCAGAAAAGGCCCAGGACAGCTTGCAATAAAAAAAATCGAGATCAATTTGTAAAAATGGGCATCACAAAAGTTAATTTTCATAACTTCAACCGATCTAGAGATGCTACAAAATGTCTTTATCTGGACAAAAACTGAGCTTTCTTGTTATCTTTTATGTTTGTGACTGTGGGTTGCCACACATTATTCTAAATACAGCTGCTTTCCCAGCCAGATGATCCCTGTATTGCAGGTTTTTCACACTTTCTCTGAGTTAAGGTAACTTGTATCCTTCCAAGCTTACAAAAATGAACAGACTTTCAAGATATGTATATTTCTGTGTACATTTTGGTGCTTTATATGTAGTATTGACAAAGATTCTCCTGCTTTCTTGTCTCTTGAAATGGAGCTTGTATGTGATGTCATACAAATACAAGAAGCCATGTGACCTAGAAGCAAAGCACAAGACCACAGAGGTTTGAGGACTCAACTGAAGCTGATGTATCAGGTTGGGCAAGGTGTGGGATTTGTAAAGGAGAAAGTAAGGTTTTGTTTTCATGAAAACTAGATTAACACACACTGAGACTGTAGAACGTATTTGAGTTAAAGTGGACTTTTCTCCGAGTCCACTTTAACTCTGCTCGTGAGTCTGAGCAGAGAAGAGATGAAAAATTGTATTGACCAAATGATAAATTTGTTTGAAGCATCTCTTTCATTAGTTTGTGTCCTGACAGTCTGAATGAGCTTCACGGATGAAAGCACTTGTAATTGCCAAAAAGCTGAAGCACATTGCACTGATAGTAATTTGTGTCAATAACAACTCTGAGAAACTTTCTGTATGCTGGATAAGTAAGTGCCTCTGAGAAAGCATGGAATACTGAATTTGTGATGCTCAAGGAAATGTCAATGAGACAAGCATTTTTGTGGTATATTTTATTGGGCTGTGTAGTTGGGAGAACTGTTGAACAAGCTTAAGAGGGTCAGTTGATGCCCAGAAGCTTATCCAAGAGCTCTCCCAACTATAGTAAGTCCAATAAAAGATGCTACAAAAAAAACTTGCTGCCTGAGAAGGAAGACATTAGCAGCAGGGGGCAGGATCACAGGGCCCCTCGGCCAATGAGAAGCATGGAGGAGTCCCTGCCATAAGCCCCCAAATGGTGGCTGGCCCTATGATCTGCCAATGAAATCAGCTGGCCACCAGGAGTTGGGTTGACCCCTAGGCATGAGCTTTCATAGGCAACAATCTGTCAGATGCTGAGAAGGCCTATGCCCTATCTTCTGCCTGTCGTGAGTGGGGGGTGATGGTAGAAGGGGACAGCGACAGTAAGTTGAGCTTGAATAACATATGGAATTTTGTGGTGTATCCAGTAGATAAAATTACCAAGACCCATCTTATATTTTTAATGTGAACATAGAACAAAAAGTTGGTTACAGTAGATCTAAAGAGATAAGAAGTGTGGAGTTCTTGGGAGTCCTTTAAAAATATATGCCTAACCCATGATGGAGGCTGTTTTGATACAGAAGAAGTATAAATAGTAGATCTGTAGTACTTGGTGCTTTTACAGTGGCTCATATGGTTTATAAGGATGGAGGAATTATATACTGTAAGTTTGGGACTTCCTAAATTTTACTGCAAACAAGCTAGGGAAGTATGGGTTGGATGAATGGACTGTAAGGCGGATAGAAAATTGGCTGGATCATTGGGCTCAAGCGGTAGGAATCAATGGCTCAATGTCTAGCTGGCAGCTGGTATCAGTAGTGTCCATGGGGTTGGTTCTGGGGTTGATTTTGTTCACTATGTTCATCAGTTATCTGGAAAATGGGATGGAGTTCACCCTTGGCAAGTTTGCAGATGACACCAAGCTGGAGGAAGTAGTAGATTGCTGGAGAGTAAGGGTAGCATTTAGAGACACCTGGATAAATTGTAGGACTGGACCAAGAGATCTCGTGAGGTTCAATAAGAACAAGTGCAAAGTCCTGCACTATAGATGAAACAGTCCCAAGCACCAGTACAGGCTGGGGACCAGCTAGCTAAGCTGCAGCAGCTTTGCAGAAAAGCACGTGGGGCAGTTCAGTGGACAATAAACTGAATATGAGCCAACAGTGTGGTCTTGTTGTAAAGAAGGCTGACAGCATAATGGGCTGCATTAGTAAGGGTGTTGCCAGCAGATTGAGGGAGGTTATTATTCTCCTTTATTGGGCACTGGTGAGACCACATCTGGAGTACTGTGTCCAGCTTTGGGTCCCCCACTACAGAAAGGATGTGGACAAATTGGAGAGAACCCAGTAGAGGGCAATGAAAAGGGTTAGAGGGCTGGGGCACATAACTTGTGAGGGAGGCTGAGGGAACTGGGCTTATTTAGCATGGAGAAGAGAAAACTGAGTGGATTTATTAGCAATCTTCAGCTACCTGAAGAATGGTTCCAAAGAGGATGGAGCTTGACCAGGGGTAGACAACGTTTTTTGGCTGGAGTACAGAAAATCCCCACAATGCCTACCTTGGAAGGTGTTGGAGTGCTGGCATGCCAGAAAAACAAAAAGAGGGCAGAGGGTACATTGCAGGATGCCCTGCATGTGCCCCTTGCCCCCCAGCCCTGCTCATGACCCTTGTCTCCCACCTAAAGCTGGTGCCCCAGCTGGGGCTCTGAGACTCAGCAATTACCCAGAACCTGGGCCAGCTGCAAACATCTGCTGCCTCCCAGCCCCAGCCATGGACTCTAGGGAGGCAGCACATACTGGCAGTGCTCCCTGCTGTGCTGCCCTCAAGCAGGGTTGGAACCCAGTGTGGCAGGGCACAGTGGGGGGAGGCGCAGAAAGCTGCCAGCTCCCCACTGTCCTGCCACGCTTCCCCTGTGTGCCGGGGGAGCAATGTAGGGAGCTGGGAGCAGGCAGCTTACTGTGCCCTGCCGTGCCAGGTTCCAATGTGCAGCGCAGGGAGCACTGCCGGTATGTGCTGCCTGGGGCTGGGTCTGGGGCCGGGGCAGAGAGGCAGCAGATGTTTGCAGCTGGCAGAGGTTTTGGGTAATTGCTGAGTCTCAGAGCCCCAGCTGGGGCACCAGCTTTAGGTGGGAGACAAGGGTCATGAGCAGGGCTG